CATAGGCTCACTAAAACAGCAAAATTAGCCTGTTTATCTGTCTATCTAGTGTGAAGACAGGGCGTTGCTTTCTGCTCATTGAAGGAGAGTAAATAATTGTGGAAAATACGTTGTGATGTCACCTCACAAGACGACCGCAGATGTAACGAAGTACCAGCGGCGCGCGTGTTTGTGTGAAGTTTAAGGTCCGCTCGCTCTCCCGCGCATTTTCCTCTTTCTCTTCCCTCTCGCGCAGGTTTTGATCTCTCAGCGGCGAGATCAAAGGCGCTCTCTGGCTATTAGTCAGCGAGAGCCATTGATCCCACATCGATCCACGCGAGACACAGCCGCCCCGTGAACACCGTACGAGGCTCCCCAAAGCTCTCCCGCGCGTCGGGAGGGAAAGCGAGCGAGGAGAGAAAAAGAGCTTTAAGGGGGGGCGATGTGTGTGTATATTTTTCACTGGCGCGGGCAGAACCAAGCTCTAGCGTTTTCTTTGCCGCGGGACATGAAACAACGAGGCTCGAGCCGGTTTTAATAAAGCGCGCTTTCCCTCCTTTCAACTCTGGCGCGAGGCGGCCGAGTCGGCAACGGAGAGCGATCGATAATTAATGACGATGAATAATTTAACCCTATTGATTGATACCTTTTCTCCGTCTTTTTTCCCTTCTTTTGCTTGTATCTTAAGTACGATGTTCTATAAGAAACTGATACCATATCGCACGCTCGCTCCTATCATTGCTCCTAAAGTTGAGCAAGTTCTGTTCCGTCTTCTATTTTTTACCAAGTTTCCTAGGCTTTCTCCTCCGCAAATGTTGGGCACCGCCGAAACTTCGCTTTCACGCTCTCTTTACCTTATTATCTCAATTATTGGGTTTCGTATCTAAACTTCGCTAGTGTTATGAAAGATGATCGCTGGTATGGGGGAGAGTGGAGTAAACACGGGGTGAGACGCAACCAATTAGACATGAGCTGAAATCACCATCACGCATGATCACCCTCCTGAGGTGACAGAAGAAACTCAAGTCTCTATTTGTAACAATATAAAGCTTTTACAGGACAAAAACAGTTTTGATGTAAGGACAGTGTAATCTCATGTCAGTCTGACTGTAATAATATTAAGGGATGTTAAATGACAGAAATGGTATCAGCAGATTGTTATTTAATTAGATATAATTTAATTTAATATAATTTATACATATACGTTTAATATATCTAACGTATATACACAAGATTTTGTAGAAGAATTATGTTACAAAATAGGACCATGTATGGCTGACATTTGCCACAACTGTGTGAGTGACACATACTGTTATGTTTGTTAGCTTATGCTTTGTGTTTAATATTTGTTTCCAATTCATTTTAAAAATGTAAAAGTCCATATGAGGTAGATTGCACTCTTTGTACTTGACATTGATTTACAGAGTTTAAGCAAAAATTCTAAACTTTAATGTGAAGCGGATGAAAATTATATCAATGTTTGAGACAGCATGCGACATTGATTTACAGAGTTTAAGCAAAATTCTAAACTTTAATGTGAAGCGGATGAAAATGATATCAATGTTTGAGACAGCATGCAATAAAACACTGAGTAGCCACAGATGTTTAAGCAAAAATGTGTTGCATCATTCTCCAAGTTCAAGTGTGGTTCTCTAAAATAACTGGCATTTATTAGACCCTATTTAGAGAAATCCATTACAAAAGGGATCTAAAAATCTTTGTAGAGAAATTCATAATTTTCAATAATGTGATTAAATGTCCCTCACTTTGCACACTCCAGCCGAAAGACAAGGATGTCTCATCTATTTATGAATTATTAAGAGTTGTTCTGAAATTTTACTATACATTCTGTAAACAAAGAAGGTCTCAGAATTATGTTTGTGAGCCGACTGAAAATACTTCACTTCCACAAGTTTACATAGGAACTGCCATTTTTGTCTGGTAGCGTTCACAACGTGTCAGATGTGTCCCATTTCAAGTTCTCCATCTTGACCATTTCTCTCCTTGCCCCTCTCTTCCCCTGCTCTCCCCTTTTCCTTCTTCATAACAAACACACAAGCCAGTCCTTCTGTTCTTTGACCCTGAGGCTGTGCAGACTGTCAGAGTAGAGTCAAGAGAAATCGAGAGATCGAGAGAAAGTAAAAGAAGGAAAGCGGAAGGAACAGTGGCGGGGGAGAAAGAGAGAGAGGGACGAGGGTGCTCAGTAAGTCCTTTTCGGTGGCAGCCCGAAACAGAAAGATGACACAGATACAGAGGGTTTGTTTCATGTCCTGGGAGCAGAGAGCAAGAGGGACGAGACTCATCACATTCCCTCAGTATCTCTGCTTCAGAACCTTGCTGTCCATCTTTTTCACTAGAAACAATGTCAGCCACTCAGTTCTGTCTCTTTTCCTCCACTCTTTAGTCCACCTCTGTACCTCACCTTTTAACAATTTTGTTTTGGGACCATTTTTACCATTTTAATATTTGGTCCACCCAATGTGTTACAACCTTGTTTCCAGCAGCCCTGTTTTGTCAAAACATTAATGTGCAATCAGCAGTTTTCACTAAATGTAATTAGTCACAGGGGTAAACATGTTAAATCTGTAGGGCATCGCTATTCCATAATAAATGAGTAATCAATGCCTGTGTTTCAATGCAGTAATGTTTATAACAGCACACTTATTATTTCATACTTAGTGCTTTTGTGCTATAAGATTAGCAGAAATAATTTTTCCATGGCATTAAACTAGCATTTTCTGAATCCCCACACCATTACAAAACAGATTTACTGAATGATTAAAAATTATTTGACATACAGTCATAATATTTAATATTAAACCATGAAATCTGCTTTACAAAATAGAATTTTCTTTTATATATAAAATTATTAATTATTTAAGTGTTATATATATTTTTTTCTTTTTCTCATTCACCTAGTATACACATATATACGTAGATATATTTATATTCATATATTTACATATATTATTATTTATATAATTTTAAAATCAAGTAAAATGTGTGGGTGTAAATTTTCTTCCACTTTTTTCTACTCACAGATGATATAACTGTGAGCTGCTGTTAGTTTGTTACCTTGATGTGATCGTATGTACCTGTCACAGAAGAGTTTTACTTTTCTCACGAGTGCATTTGAGAATATTGTCTTGGGGAACGGTGTTACTTTGTGTTGCCCTGTCCATGTTGTATGTGCATCTTTTTTTCTGAGTTTTTTGTTTGGTGTGTGTGGTGGTTGTGCACTCCCTGAATCAGTGTCTTCATATCTAGGAGATTGTGAGAAGATGTATTCCCTTGGCTGCTAGTTATAATGTTTCTGGGGGTGATGTGGAGAACTTGAAAGCCCTGTGCTGCCCAAATCAAAACTAACAAGGAAATGATGGGGGCTCCTTTATCTCCTCACTGGCCTGGAGGGGAAGAGCAGGGCAAAAGAAGGAGATCGAGGGAAAGGGAGGAGAGGGAGGAGGGGGAGGAGGAGGGAGGTGGGAGGCGTCCTGGCTTCCTCTTTGATTTGTAAAAAATGCATTACCTCCGAAATCAAACGGAAAATTACTGGGCGGGAGCAAAACATACAGAGGAGAGAAAGAGAGAGAGGGTGCAGTTAGGTGCATGGGCAGGCAAGGCCAGGTTTGCTTTGATTGGATAGGCTGGCCGAATACAGATTTCACAAAAGGTGGATGAAAATATCTGAATGAATTCATTTACAGGTGTGATATTGACTGCACCAGTTGCATTGTGCTCAATTATTGCTTTAAATAGTGTTAAAGTAATATCTGTTCCTAATTTGATAGTCTAGTATCACAAAGTAAAAGACTGTCCTGCTAAAAAGTCTTAAAGTCTTAAAAGTCTGAATCTACATTTCTTTGCCCTTGCGAAGCTACCGAAATGGTAAGTAAGAATACATCCGACTGAATTGACATACTAGCTTTCTTGAGTAGGAAAGATACTCCACTAAAGAAATAACGACAGATGAATGTTACAAAAAAAAAAAAAAGAGCGAGTTGAGAAGTAGATGGTACGACGGTGGGGGAGAGCAAGTGGACAGTCCAAAGAGTAAAAGCAACAAAGGGTGTGTGTGTGTGTGTGTGTGTGTGTGTGTGAGAGAGAAGTGCCTGGAGTTAGCAATAATAATTTATACAAACACACCTCAATAATTCACGTTCCATTTCAATGCTGGAGGGAAGATCCAAAATTCACAGAGCATAATTAAATAGAGTGAGAGAGGAGAGGGGGAGAGGGAGAGGCCAGCATTAAAGATACCCTTGTACCGGCTCCTTTTTCTTCCACCCGAGCTTTGTAAAACAGCCTTTATGAAATTGTGATGGCTGAGGAGAGATTGAATTTCTCTAGCCATGTATACTGAATTGCTGCATGGAGAGATGGATCTTTACTGATGCTCCCAGTTGTTCTGATAGCAGATGCAATCTTCAATGATTTTTGATATCCTGCTTTGAAGTTATTTGTATGAACACATGCCCACCATGGCGAGTTTATTTCCTTTCGCTGCAATGTGAATATTTCAGTTTTAGTGCAAAACAAGTGGAAACTGGAATTTTTATTTCTTACTCCTAAATTAATTTGTTTTAAAATATGTACATTTTTGCACTTTATCAAAGAAATACCTTTGAGAAACTATAAGGACTAATTGCTTGAGGGCCTCACACACTGTCATGTGTTCAGCATGAGAGTCTTTTGAACATTGCTCTTTGAGAAAAAATGCTCAGTGATCTTGTGCATGGCTGAAGGGACAGCCTTCGGCAACCATATTTAAAGAAACCCTTCAAATGAAATGGCATTGATTGATTTTAGAGGCCACTGGTATTTGACATGCCCTCATGGTTTATAACAGCATGTTCTGACACACTGGTGTGTAGTGGGTGAAATGAGTCCGCAAGCACATGACACATATTTGTTGAGTCAAAGTATTATGCATTAGACTTTAGTCTTGAGTTCTTTGTTCTAACTTCAAATGGTTTACACTCAAATGTTGTTGGTTTGTGTGTGAATGCAGGTGTAGTGGAGGTATGGACTGTAACTGTGTTAGTGACCTGCTGCTCACGCCACCAGTCCCAACACTCTGGACACCAGGTGAGACACTGGAAGAGTTTTTTTTTTTTTTGAAGAGGTTCTGTATGAAGACCACCATCATGACAAGACAGTAGAAACAGACAGTAGAAACAAATGCATAGATGTTACATTGATTTTTAAAGCAAAGCTCTGATACATATTTAAGCTAATTATCACACTAATAAGACCAACAGCATGACTGTGAGTGTGATATGCTATTATACTGCAGTTTTCTCAAATAGAAATTCATATTGAGCAACTTACATTTTAGACACAATATTGACTATAGTCAGGGTAGCATCATATTTAATTTTTGACAGGAATTAAAGTGAGGCTGTGAGGGATAGAAGTGCATTCAATTGATTGTACTGTTGTTTAACAACATGAACATACCGATTGTTCAGTTGATGAAATGTCCTTCCAAAAACAAACTTTCAGTAGACAAAAGCTCCATAAAACAGTTTTGAAAGTTGTGAATTGGAGAAAAGGACGTAATCTAGGACCTTCATACAGTGTATACGCAAGTAAATGCTCCACAGCCTTGTTTTCATCCGTATTAAATTAAATATGCCGTCTAACCTGACTAAGGTCTATTGCCAGTTTCTTTGCCTATTTTCGATCCTCCAACGATTCTGCCTCAGAAATAGTGTTTAATTCTTGAATGAATCTGTGTTTTGAACAAATCGTTTGAGTAAATTATTCAATGACTCACTTTAAGAGAGTGGTTGCGTCTAGAAGTTTAGGGTGCTGACTTGTTGCCTCGCAATGACTTTGCAAGCAGCATTTGTGCATGAAGGCCCCTCACCAAACTGATTTCAGACAGGCTGGACGCGACTGGAAGTGACCATTGCAAATAATTTGTACTTTGTGTCAGTATGTCATAAATATAACGAGGCATCAGTATACTTGCCGTGTCGCATCCAGTGTAGACAGCATCACTGATTATAAAGGGATCTATTGTCTTTTGTCTCGTGTCCGGTGTAACGGTTTAACAATTTACAACAAAACATCAAGCTTTGGTGAGAACTAAACTAATAATTAATTACTATCTCGCTAGAAGTAACATCAAAAGTGGAATAAGTTGGTCAAAAACATCAGCCTGGTCTCATGTTTATACGTAAGTATTAATACGTAACATTTACAAGCACAAAACGTACTTTTGTACGTTGTTATTAATGCTAAAACGTACAATTTAGACGTATTTCAACGTTTAAAACGTACAAATCGCTACGTATTTTTAGCTAAAAAACGTAAAAATATTTACGTATATTTTATATCATTAAGAACATTTGAATTTGTAAAGAGCGCGTCAGTCAGCGCGGGCTTTGCTGCTCACAGTGGACTCGCTGCTCGGGATGGAGAAGAAGATCGTCGAAAAAAGGCTTGGATTTGGGTCTGTTCCTCGCAGTAGTGATGGGAAGTTCGGTTCTTTTCCTCGAACCGGTTCTTTCGGACAGTTCGATTCAATAAACCGGTAGTATTGTACGTTTTAGTGCCTGTAAAAACGTAAGTAAATGTACGTTTTATAGAACCACATTTTACGTAAAATACATACGAATTATCATGAGATCACGTTGAAAACATACATTTCACATATAAACTGGCCACTAAACATAGCTTTCAGATGCCATAATTATTTTTGGCTCAAATGTCACGGAATGGAGCACAGGATTATGATATATCAAAGGCAGCCAAGGATGCATATGCTGCCTTCAAAAATCGATCAAATGAAGCAATGCCAAATGAAGGCATATCAACAGAAAGGAAGTGAAGCTAACATTGGATTCGGAGGTGCCTTGATGCCTTCCTACCTTGGAATGCATTCTCCGATTTTTCAGCTTTCCTGCGCACCCAGTCAGTAGTTTCGTCGCTGAATGAATCAGTGTTTTGGACAAATGAATGAAAGTTTCAAATGACTCACTAATAAAAACACCCTCTTGTCGCCACCTACTGGTGTGACGATGTAACCTGCAGAAATAATCGCTTAAAAATCCCCACTACTGATTCATATAGCCTCACAGTTTGTTAGCTCTGCCAAACAAGTTCAAATACAGTTTCATACAACAGGTAGAACTGATAATCAATTTTTGCTCCTATATGTCAGTAAGCTGTTGCTACATTTTGAACAATAAGCTGGTACATATACCAATTTAAAGATTTTTTTTTCAAAAATGTAAAGTTATCTTACATATACTTGTTTAAAACACAGGCTAACTACTCCCTAGGATTAAAATACCCTGTCAAAACACCCATCGCTTCATCAGTTATTTAAGAAATGCTTTTAGCAAGTAACAAAACCAACAGGCCTTATCCAAATCCTTTCACTTACTCGCCTCCCTTTCCTCAGGCATCGCCTTCCCAGACTGGGCCTATAAGCCAGAATCAAGCCCAGGCTCCAGGCAGATCCAGCTGTGGCACTTCATCCTGGAGCTGCTGCAGAAGGAGGAATATCAGGGGGTGATTGCCTGGCAGGGAGACTATGGTGAATTTGTGATCAAAGACCCAGATGAGGTGGCAAGACTGTGGGGCCTTCGGAAGTGCAAACCTCACATGAACTACGACAAGCTCAGCCGAGCACTTAGGTATGCACAGCATGCATGTTTCATATTCATAGGATTGTTTTCTGTGTTAATGCTTAATTGCTGCCTTTTATTGTTCTCTCATGCAATATGTATATTCTAGATGGTGTGCTTTGTTGAGTATACAGTCTGTTCGGCTGTTTTTCTGTGTGTGTGTTTTTATCTTGCATCTGATGGGGGGGCATCATTTATTTTTTCCTCACATTATATCCTGTATAATAGCATTGGCCCCTCCATGCTTGATAATATGTGGATATTTTAAGTGCTGCCTTCCCTCTGAAGAACATCAATACAGTCCAATTTGTGGAATCTTTGAACATCTAAATGGATTCTGGATGTTCTCCGGCAAGAGCCTCATATAAAGAATACTTGTCGATGCGGATTTTGAAATTAAGTCTAAAATTGATTCGTACTTCACCAAACTTATATCAGATCTCCTTTCAAACTCCAAACTCCAATGTAAAACTTTTAACGTTTGAACTTTGACCCTGATTGAAGTACTTCTGAACATTTTCATGCAAATACACTTATCCATTTCTCATCCCGTCTCTTTTATCGCTCTGATTTCCTCCCTCCTCCTCCACCCAACCTCCCTTTAATAGACGCTGTCGCTGGCCGCTAATTGTTATGAATAGGCACAGGCCATAATTAGCCTCGTTGATTAGCCTTGCTTAATTGCTCAATTAAGGGGCACAATTGCCACATAAAATAAAAGCTTACAAATTATGGCGCCGGCAGATTGCATCTAGGGAACTTGTGTAGGCTGCCGGCCCGAGTAAGGTGAAGTCAAGCATAAAGTGTGCTGAGATTAAAGAGCCTCGCTCTCATGCATAGGTGAGCATCCTCAAAGCGCTCTGACACTCATGATGAACGTGAACGGGTGATGGTCAGGGGAAAAGACTCAGAGGACAGATCCATCTCTTATTTCCAACTGAGCGATACATGGTTGTGTGATGTTAAGGGAAATCTAAGCAGTCATCACTGTGCTGAACAGGAAGCTGACAAGGCTGGCATTCCCGAATGAAGGCCATGACCCTGGAAATTGTTTCAGGTGGAGGAGGAGGCTGCCTTTCCCCCCTTTAAAGGGATAGTTCATCCGAAAATGAAATCTGTGTAATTTATTTATCCTCATGTCGTTCCAAAAATCTATGGCTTGAAAAATAAAACAATATTGGATGTTGCTGTATAGACAAAAAACTCTGAGACATTCTTCAAAACATCTTTTTTTTATGTTTCACAGAAGAAAGAAATTTGGAAAGACACAAGTGAATTAGGACAAAATTGAAACATTTAGCTTATTCTTGTATTTTTTTGTTGTTGTTCTCCATCCTGCAGGTACTACTACAATAAACGCATTTTGCACAAAACTAAAGGAAAGCGCTTCACCTACAAGTTCAACTTCAGTAAGGTGGTTCTGGTGAATTACCCACTGCTGGACATGGCCAGCTCTCCGTTCCTGTTGGCCCAGAACCACTTCAATGGAGGAGCAGCAACACCGGACTGCAGCCCTGTCACCCCCGAGGTACAAAGAAAATAAAAACATGGCATGTATTAAGTGCAGTGCATTTACAGGAGCATAATATCATCAAAACAGAACTCAAGATAATGAGAGACAGGAATGAACCGCTAGGTAGAACAGAAGAATGAAGTCAGACAAAAACTTGAAGAGCTGACGTGCTCTGTGATAATAACAGCTCTATTGCCAGTGTTTAATGATTGATGGGATTTTTTTTTATCCATACTGTATAAGGCTCTCCGTATTAGCTTTGATGTGAGGGATCAGGCTATTGATTGTACAGAGTCAGTCAGTATGTAGGTATCTTTTTTAGTTTTTTGTATTTATTTTATTTCTTTTCCACTGTCTGTTTTATTTGCCTTCAGTAAATGTTAAACATTAACTAAAATAGTTATCATCTGAATACCAGGGGCAAAGCATAAATTTAAATGTTCTGTTTGAATACAAAAAGACTGAGAATGTTTTTATCAATAAAGGTTTAGTCAAATCAGAAACCTGAATTCACTTAAAATATGCACCTTAAAATATAAATGGTTTAAAAGAATAAAGAGTGGTAAATTTGCAATACAAGGTAAGTTAAAATAAGTAGGCTCATAAAATGCAGTAATAAAATTATTGTTTTTATTAATAATCTGACTTTATTTTAGCCGTACAAACAATAAATAAATATCTACCCAGGTCATTCTATGAGAAATTTATCTGCTGTACATCTTGACTAGAGGAGACTGAAGGAGAAGGGAAAGAGAGAGCCAGAGGTGAAGAAGAAAGTCGAGAGAATGTCACAGATGGCGTTAAGGAGCCTTAAAACAAAAGAAGACATTATCCCTTTCCTCTCATCTCTGTCTGGGATGGCGTACTTATCACTGCCATTGATTGAAAATGAAAGACATGTGAGAAATGAAAGAGAAGGTGGGGCTGTCAGATCAGTGGCATTTCATTAATGCAGTTTTGTTAAGCAATCCAGATTACATAGCTTCGAAATACAGAGAGAGAGAGAGAAAATCTTTACCGCGTTCATCCGCTAAGATTCCTGCGATGACTTCCAGGTTTCCTTTATTGAGCTTTATCCACCACCACCCTTTTCTAATCTGCTCCCAAAAGCGGTTTCACATTTTGGGAGGTAAAATCCAGGATCTCTTTGTGGCCTACTCTGACTGACATCTTATGAAGTCTTTAAGACAAGACTTTCTTATTTTTTAAAGATTTCCAAGACAGTGTTAAAGATGTCATGATTTCTTATCATCATCTGATGAATTTACAGCAGCGAATTCTTGGTCTGTTCATCATTTATTTTCATTTTTTGTGACTTCCAAATTTTTAGTAGTACATAAACATCAAAATAAAATTGTTACTAATTTATAAAATTCAGAATATTTGTTAAAATTGACGAGATTATTATTTATCCTATCAGTATTGTAATTTTGAGTAAGTTACTCCATCATTTAAACTGTTTATGCACTGTCATTTGTTGACATAATTCTTCTCACTCAGTCTTTTTCACTGTGTAATGATGATCTATGAATAAGGATCCTGACACGCTGTGTTTTCTCCATTCCATCTTTCCCAGGCCCTTCAGTCTTTATTCCCTCGTTTACCTGAATCAGGTCGAGGGCCCTCTCTGTTTGAGCGCAGTGCAGGGGCCCCAGGGCCTGATGGGGACAAGCTGAGACTGGACACTTTTTCTTTCCTCGGCTCAGGTGAGACATAAATTAAACAGAACAACAAATTTTACATATTGTAATAGAGAAAATGATGGATTCATGTTAATTTGGAAAGGTTCTTTGTTTTTCAGAGCAGTGAAGTGAAGTATATAAGTGTGGGATCAGATATAAGTGATTAGTTCACACTGTTATCAGTAGTATTTTTTTACATTGAGATCCCTGAAATCGCTACGTTCTTGACAAGGTTAGTTTCCATTTGCATTTTACACTTGCATTTGTGCACTAGCACTTCCTCTGAGAGTGGTACGGTGTCATGTACACCCATTGTCTTTTCAAATGCTCTGAATGTACACTGAAATACCAGTGTATCAGAATGTATGAGGGCTTGAGTATGTCAATGCGACTCCCCACTCCAAAAACCCCCCCTCACCCCTTCAACTTTGTTTGTCCTGAGGTCCTGTTTCACCCTCCTCCTCTTCTTACCCCTCTCTGCCTCCCATGTGTACCCCCTGTCCTAATCCCTTCCCAAGCAGGAAGGCCCTAATTGAGGGTGCAGGCTTCAGTTTGTGGCCTGTGGGCGCCCATTACTGTGTTTTCATAAGCAAGTGAAGCCTGCCTGACTGATTCAATATTCATGTGTCTGCCAGCTACTTCTGGCCCTACGTACACACACACTCTAGCACTGTCAAATTAGCCCTGCATAGCAAATAACACAGAGAGAGGCTGAGGAGAGAAAAAGAGAGGGAGAGAAAAGTAGAGAAAGTGAAGTAGGCAGGAATGAAGAAGGAGACCGAGGAAGAGGTAAAGGGGACCATATAAAGAAAATGTGTGTGTAATGGAAGCAAAAACATTGTGAAAACCATGTAAAGTATTATGAGTGTGAAATAAGGAATATCAACTCCCATAGGTACATTTGAGAATATTAGGATAATTTATTAATTAATTTGTGGAAAAAATAAGCTGGCTGATTTCTTATTTCTATTTCCATTCTATTTTATCGTACATCTTATAATATTATATTAATAATGTAGAAAACAGAAAATTAATTATTTAAATTAATAAATTAATTACTAATAATTAGACACTTTAAATATTAAACTGTTTTAATGTTGATAATAACAAGAAATGTTTTTGAACCAAATCAGCATATTAGAATGATTTATGAAGGTTCATGTGGCACTGAAGACTGGAGTAATGGCTGCTGATAATTCAGCAATTCAATTAATAAATGATCATAATATTCTCACATGTAAATAAAACTATTATATATTATATTTTTTATATAATTTTTTCTTACGTTTTTGGAATATATGATTCATAACAATAACAACCTTTTAGTTTTCTCTCTGAGAAAGAGTTGCCTCACATTCTCTGTTCTCAGTCATGTCCCTAACATCTGATCTTAAAAATTAACACTGGTGTCCTTTCCATTTTTTCCCCCCAATTTTTCCCACAGGGGCTCCTTGTTACTCCAAACCTCCATCCCTTTTGGGTCCTTACCCACGGAACCCCTCTTTTGACTACCCCTGGGGCTTCAACCCCTACCTCCCAGGGGCCTTTTCTCTGAACAACTGTCCCAAATTGGCCCCAGGCTCCCTCTACTCTTCACATTTCTATCCCAACCCGCTCCAATCCAGCCTGTCTCAGCTGTCACACCCCTTCTCTTCGCTCTTATCCCCCGGAGACACGACCAGTGCAGAACGTGGTCAAACGGGAGGAACAAATGGCTCTGCGGGTGGTCAGCCTCTCAGACTCTGCATCCCACCGTACCCAGGGAACTTGCCACTGGGTCGGACTGAGCCGGGAAACGGGGGTACAGGTGTGGGCGACCGGGAAAGAGGGGAGACCAACATTGGCATAACAGGTGGAGGTCTTGGTTTGGGGTTAGGCCTAGGATTGGGTTTGGGTGGAGTTGGAGTGGGAAGTGGAGGAGGAGGCCGTCAAAGCCCTTCTGAGCGGAGAAAGGGTGTGAAGCAGGATCCGGAGTCTGACTCTGAGCTGGAGATCACAGACCTGAGTGACTGCAGCTCGGAGAATGAGAACGAGCCGGACTTCTCTCTGGGGAAGGAACCAGGGTTGGGTAGTCGCTCACACCTTCTAGAGGCCAAAACTGGGGGACTCGGGGGAGCTTTGCCCCCTCTCTCTTCTCTTCCTCCACCTGTGTCTCTGCATCCCCTCAAAAGACTAGGACCCCTGACTCCTCCACCATCATCCCTACCTCCATCCCTCTCTCCTTCCCTCACTATGATCGACCGGCACAGGGAAACAAAGACACTTAAACTTGCTAACAGTTAATTTGTTCTGTTGTGTGATTTTTGATGTCTTGCAGGTTCTCTCTTTCTCTTTTTGTGTCTGTGTATTCCTGCATTTGTGAAATAATGCTGTATATTCCCATTTCATTTTTTTTCTTCTTTTCTGGAGTCCTCCGAAGCCATTCTTTGCTCATTCAGTTCCAATAATAGAACTTTCAATTTCTGCTTTCTTCAATTTCTGATTTGCACAGTGGGAATCTTGATGCAGTTTTTGTCATTCTGAGAGTAAAAGTGCAGCACAAAAAAAATCAAAATTCGAATTTTCATTCTCTCATTTCTGGTAGGAAATGAGAAATTGTATAGCCAATACAGCACAGTAACGGAATATGCATATGTTTTATCACACACTTTTTAGATTGCACTGCATTCTGGCCCTGCTGAAACAGGCAGTAAATTTGTTCTGTTTGGTGTATTTCAGACTTTTCCATAAGTTAATGCTAAGCTCTGCAATACAGTGTTCAACTGAAGAGTGTAACACAAGCAAAATGCAATAATGGCAACACTCATAGTAATTTTAAGGCGATACAGTTGTGTTGCAATAAAGCACTTTTGTTTTGTTTTTTTGTGCTGATTCCAAGGGATTCAGACATATATATGGTCAAACATTGCCATCTTGTGGTTATATTTATCTAAGCCTTTCATAGTTTCTGAAGGGAAATTTATTTATTTATTTATTTATTTATGTTCACTTTCAATTTTCATGTCCATGTCTTCTTAAAAATTTTCAAAACATTTATGACCCTGAGAATGAGTGACAGAATCAATACTACTCATGCCAGTGAATATTTAAAGTTTATCTATTTCGTTGTATATATTTTATTGTTGTGTACATTGTTTAATTACTATTACTATATGGGATAGTTGTATTGGTGTCATTTTACTCTGTAACTAACTGAAGAGTGATATATGAGACAGGAAAATGGTTAAGTATATATGTGTAGTGACCCAAAGATGACAGAGAAAGAGCACTTGTTTTTCACATGCTCATAAGAATGCAGTTTAGACAGGGAAGTGTGCAAAAAAACAAAAATCTGCTCTTTCTAATTGTGCCCTGTGGAAATTTTCCCCAGATACCTCCAAGTAGATGATCCTGATGGACTGAGTTATGCCACTAGTCTCAAATTTCAATAATTAATTCACCCAGTGGTGATGTACTGTAATTAATCAAGTGTGAATAATATTAGTCGCAGCATCTGCTAATTTCTTTAACCAATGTTCATTCTAATGTTTATTACATTTGATATATGAACATCCGATTTGAATATAAAAACAATACATAGGAGCAGAATGACACACTCTGATTAGATTACCTTCAAATACAATTCAGACAAGTTGGGGGAGGGGGGGGGTAAAGATAACATTTTATACAAAAGCAAAATGCAAGTAAGATTTTATCAAACTATGGCAACAATATTTCCAGATATTCTTCTGATTCTTTGGTAAGTTATCTCATTCTAGATAAGAACTTGAAAGAACTTGTTACACGACAGTTGGTGCCATTGACTTGCCCGTACAAGAGGAGATTTCAGCTGTACATAGGACTTTGCGTAGGTGTTTGTACACATTGAAAAAAAAATATATACCATTTACCTTACAGTAAAGATTTTCTTTGTTTAATTGTGAAATTTAAAACAGAAAGGATTACTAGAACAAAATTGAGCAAAGAGTAATATCTTCAAGAGCAATAAACAATATTCTTGAGATTCAATTGTGAGAGCATTGGATTTTTCTCTGGAGTTCAATATATGATTTCAGATCAAATGTATTCCATTAAAAAAGAACTGTACTTGTTTCTGTCTGTGTAAAAAGCATCATGAGGTGGCCTACATCCTGTCAAGTAGGCTACCACATTCACTGAATTTCAGAGATTATCTAGAAAAATGGAAGTGCAAAAAAGACCTTCATAGATAGATAGATCACATTCCTGCGCATACAAACATCAACATGAGTGCAGTGTATTTACAAAAAAAAAAAAATACAGAAAAATGCAAGCTAGGATGGTGGAGTTTCACGGTACATTTCTACCTCCAAACACAGACTTGGCACGGACACATTCATAAATCGTGAATACATGTAATGCAACGGGGGGCCGTAGTGTCCCTGAACACGCATTGAAAAGCTCTGAAAGCCATTCAAATGAAGGGGAACAAATTTAGTGTAACACTACACGGAACCATACGGGGATACATGAAACGATTTTTCGACATCTCTCGGCCTCTGGCGGTCGCAAGTCACAGGAAGAAACAGTGGACGGCAAAAGTTACGTTTCCAAAAAAAAACAACCCCCGCTTTGAGTCGAGTGCACTCGGGGATCACTGAACATATTTAATGATCATCCGCACATAAAGAGGAATGATTTAGTCCTGCTTTTGTATCTGCTGTCAAACGTCGCGCGCTTGAATTGGTCTCACTCTCCACTTCCGCGTACAATGTTTTTTTCCAACGACATGCAACAACTTTAGAACAGGAAGCCTTCAGAGGCGCTTGTCACTTCGTCTCACCTTTTAGGAGAGGTAAGGTTTAAGATTAAACATATAGATTAATGGATCTGATATGATTTTGAGGCATTTAATTGTCTTTTGGTGCGCGATGATGTGATTTGTCATCAGAGGGAGCATATTCGCATGCTTGATTATCATGATCGGCGAGCGATTAAATCCTGCCAGTTTGTTTTTGCTCAGCGAGAGGAATGTTGTTTGGCTACAATGTAAGCTTTGCCAGCATTCCTGTTATTTCCGTCGACCCGCGCCTCTGTTTTTCAACAGAGACCGAAGATTTTATTTGCAGCTTCTTCGCGAGATGTTTTGAATGAGCAACTGTCACAGCTAAACAGTTTTGGTTGAATTGAGTCGACGAGATATAAGGGCTACACATGCAAAAGCAATGTCAACATCACCACCGTTTGCGTTGTTATTGATTTTTCAGCCTTGATAAGCAATGACAGGATGTTAGCTCTATACTGTAAATAATTTCATAGATTTATAATGAGCTATATCAGTTGTAAATGTAAAGCCTTTCAGCTAACAGAATTTTTTGTTCATGAATTCTATAAATATTTAAGCAATATAGAGAAAGCTGTGTTGTACTGCATATTAGCACAGCTGAAATTTCGCCCTATTGTGATTTATGATATTGCTTTTATAAACAGTTAGTACACAGGTAGACTAGTATATAGTAAGTTCTTTTCAGGTAAAATTAGCCCGTTCTTATATTTCTTGTACTAAAAACTAACACCGTTCCAAAAGAAACCAGAGCAACAGCTCTTACGTGTTTCTAAGCATCAAACAAAAAGAAAGCTTGGTCTGGAATCTGGATCAGTATTTCTGAAAGGAGCGTATTTCCCCTTCTTGTTCCAAGCCTTCTGTAATCACTGGGCTTTAATTCCATGTGTTTTGCATTTCGCACTCACTGAGAGAAACCCAAGTGAAGAGAATGCACAGGTGCTATGACCTTTAAAAACCTGCTAACTGCCACAAGCAAACTCGCACTGCTCTGCTTCTACGCGTAAAAGAAAAAACACTGACACTTTAACTATCAGAAAACATACTCCTTGCTTTGTTCCAACTTTACACCACTCACATACTGGGGTCTGTGTCCCTGTGCTGCTGTTTTAAATAACTGCACTTTTGAAACACCACTCAGCCAATCAAATTTAACCCTTAAATTGTCTGCTGTGTAGGTGGACCCATAGTAGATTTTACTGATACCGATAGCTAGGTTGGACCACACTGGTCAATACCGATTAATCAACCGATAGTTTTTAAAACTGATACTGAATGAAAAATAAAATAGTGCTTTACTATAAAAAAAACAGTACTGAACCATACTTTGTACATGAATAAAAATATTAATATTAAATATTACTTAAATATTGATCATTAAAGTTAGTTCATAGTTCATTAGTTCATAGTTCAGCAACTTCAAAATTTAAAAATACGTTAGTAGATGTTGAAATTAGAGCACTCTAACTAGATGGCCATCTTTAAATATCTACACAAAGGCCAAAGCATTGAAATTACAAACATATTGATATTGTATGTATACTCTCACAGTTTAATTGCTTCTATTCTAGAACACTTGATGATTATCTAATCAAAATAACAAAATATGGTAGACGCACACTGGACAAAAAGTTGTTGGACAACTCGCAGGTATCGGGTCACACACACACTGGACGTGTCGCGTTCAGTTCAAGCAGCAGTCTAAAACAGTTTATTTCCTCACCAAACGGGCAAAAGTTCACTTCAAGAATGATAAAAAAAAAAAATGGCATAGATGAGTTAGAAGTTTGGTATTTAAAAAAAACAGAGCAAAACGGAAAGAAGAACCGCAATCTATATATTACAGCTCTCTATGTGAAGCATACAGACTTTATTGGAGCAACTGAAAGACCAACGTTTCACTGAAAAATACACAACGTTACAGCCTAGGGTGAAGTCATTATGTACATATTTGGGACAAATATAATGTAATTTAATGGAAAACTGTGTGAGTGGCGCTCTGTGACGCGGCAGGATTTCTTTCAGCTATATTTTTATCAATGTGCTTTTTCGCGTTACGGCTTTAAATCTGCAACTTCGCTGGCTAACAAATGCATTCATGTGACCAGCTGGATGTAAACTGATGCAAATAGATGGTAACAATCGTGACATTAAACAGTTGGGTCGGATTTGCGTGTGTTTTGGTCACATTGTTTTAACCGCTTGAGGTGCTGCTAATGTTTGCATCTTCTCAGCCTTGATAGCAAACATACTGCTGTCCTTTTCTCCACTAATGCAGCATCTAGTCAACAAATTAATTACTTAGTAATGATATGAAAACATGCACTACAGTATAATATGTACACACTGTTTAGTTGTCGATGTTTTAAATCCGCATCTGAAGTGTCCGCTCTGTGCAGAGCGCAGTGTCACGTGTCAAAACAAACAGCTAGAGGCATAAGTGATTCCACCTCTAGAAGCTGCTCTTGTACTGTATAATGACAGCAGACCTTCCCGCTCCAGCAATGGACGCAACCTGGAAAAACTATCGGCATAGATTTTTGCTGATAGTTCCAGCAGTCATCTATCGGTGCCGATTAATTGACAAAACCGGCACATCGGTTGACCTCTACTGCTGTGTAATGCTTGATACATTTATGATAAGCCCTGGCAACCCTAAAAATAGGGTTTATTATGAATTGTATTGATATGCTTTAATAAACTGAGTACAAATTGTAGCCTTGTGTTTGTCCATACATAAAGTAGCTTTAACTTCAGGCTTAGTTTGTTTTTGTAGTAGTTATATAAGCGAATGTCAAGGTAAATTGATGTAGGCCATTGTTTACATTTTATGTTTGGCTTCCAGGTAATTCGTTGTGTAGAAAACCACCGTAGTCCATTACATTTTTGGGCAAGGAGCACTTAAGAAACATCGTTAGTCTTGATGTAGTTCTTTGCTACGACTGTCTGACAGCTAGAGTGAACTGGGATTAGATTAGTTTAACCTTCATGGAGTGAGCCTTGTTCATATTTATTGGATGCATTTGAAAAGAAATTGCAGTCATCAGTTAACCTGCCTGTATTCCTCTGTGATGGTACTCTGTTTTCATCTTAGTGTTTGTTACATTTAAACATTCTTATTTCTTGTTTCCTTTCATTTTGAAAAATTATTCACATTATTGAGTTTATTTGGATTAAAACGCACCACTGTCAAAATGTATAATCCTTTAAGAGGTCATTACAGTTCAGATTATTCTGTTATGTAGGACTGACACATGGAATGGCCACAAGCATTATTATACTTGTAGCTTTTTGTCCAGTTTTACGTAACTGTAGATCATAATGGAAAAACAGGAAGAAGATACAAAGTCACTGAGATGCAAACAGGTTTAGGTCAACAATGAAGAGCTTCAGGCATTTATGGCTTTAGATGGTACAACCATTACAAAGAGATTCCTGATTACTGTAGTTCAGTGGAAAAGCTGGAATGATTAGCCTGTCACGAAGCCAGTTGGATTGGCCATGTACATGATCTGTATGGTTCAAGCTTGTTTGTAGAAAAAATCTCAAAGCAAGCATGTTAATCTTGAATCTGTTCAGTTATCCTCTTTCCATTTGCACAATCATAATAGAATACACTGCCATTCAAAATTTGGGGTTGGTAAGATTTTTAAATGCGTTTGAAAGAAGACTCTTATTTTCACCAAGGCTGCATATGTTTAATGAAAAATAAAGACAGTAGCATTGTGAAATAATGTTATAATTTTCTGTTTTCTATTTTTTAAAATCTATTCCTGAGATGGCAAATCTGAATTTCTGCCAATTACTCCAGTCTTTAGTGTCACATGATCATTTTTATTCTGCAGTTATATTGCGGAGGCTGTTCTGCTGTAATAAATATTAACCCAAACTTCTCAAAAATTCACCAAACTCGTCACTGGTAGTGCTCGGTTGGTTCGCTTTCACATTATGTCTCTCTATTTTTTTTTTATTGTTGGCTTATGTACAGATGTCTGGCCACTAGATGTCTGTCAAATTCTCTAATTTTCTTCTACTCTGTTGCACTCCATCTTGCATCTTGTGTGAATAGCGCATGAAACACTGGACTCAAATAATACATGCCATTAAGTACTGCATCTGATGCATGATAGTATATTCTCATTCAGTACATGGCATACATGCATCACGTTACTTTAGTAATGTACCGTGGCACTGCCGGTATTTTGAGGCTTGGGCACTGTGATACTACCGTAGCACCTGTATGTCATGCAACCTCGTTAGTGTGAAATTGTTAAGAGGCTTTGCTCCCAGATTTGAAATTGGGGTGGATAATAACGGAAGCAATGGGGGTGCCTGGATAATAACTGAAGCAATGGGGGTGCCTTACCACTTCCTTTTCCTGTTCTGACATTGCTTGTCTCTCTCTTTCTCTCTCACTCTTTCGCTCTCTCTCTATGTGACATTCATTGAGAGAGGCAAGTACAATCTTGTCCAGACTACACAGCTACTGACTCTTTCTTTTGAAGGAATGCACATCATTTCATTTTGTATCACTCCTCCACCTGCTTTTTTCTCACCGTGTGCCTCACTTCCTCTCATACACTGTGTTGTTTTACCATAGACAGTGAGTGCTTTGTGTTCACTCCTGGAATGGAGTAATGTCATTAGACCATGCAATTATAGTGTGATGATTATGGGAAATTATATTTTGTAATAAAAAGTGGCACAAAGTAATATGGAAAAAGTGACCGTGCAAGCTCAGGGCTCGCAAAATTTCAAAATCCCTGGTAGCCCTTCGGGCAGGTACTTTTCAGATTTTGGTAGCCCGAAAATTAATTTAACTAGCCCAAATAAAAAAAGACCTTTTTTTTTTAAATATAGAAAATCAGATAGGAGTTTAAATGTCAATCAAAAATATTTGCAATACACCAATATCAACAAATATGAAGGAAGGAATTTATTTTACCATTTACAGGGTATCTGCAGAATATAAAAAAAAAAAGGTAAGGCAATTTATGACCCATTTTAAGAGC